TAGTTTGCGTTTCAAGGTATAATCCAGCTGAGAAATTCAAAATGGCATCAAGCAAGAAGAGAGTAATGTCATCATAATGAGGGAAGAAGGACCAGCCACTATTTACCCTGTAAGAAGGATGGCATCACTTTCGATGGGTTCAAAGTGACAAATCGATGTAACCACCATGTGTCACAATCACAGGATTTAGACATGCTGACATTGACAGTAATAACCACTAAGGCCAACCTAAGAATCTACCTGGCTTAACCCATTAAACAACCAATTAATCTCGTACCTCTACTCAAATGGCAGTTCCCACAATGCACCAGGAAAGCCATGTCACATATCTCCCCCCCTTGCCCCCCAAAGCTAGCGCCCAAGTTTGCCCTGACCTTCTTGAAGACTTTCCCATTGGGTTGCAGCTCATCCTCCTCGCTGAGGAGCACCCGAGTCCCCAGGCAATCCCGACGGGGGAACATCTTGGCCGAGGTCGCGAACACCTTGTCCAGCGTATCACAGCCGGGCCGTAGCGAGCTGGCCAGGCACTGTGTGCTGTTCACAGCCCTGTAGGGCCCCGCGGGGCCCCTCATTGGCACCGCCTTGCTGCGGCGGGCACGCTTCTGCCTGACCGAAGCACCAGAAAACAGGGACCAGGGCAGGAAGATGATGCTGGAGTAGATCCAGACGACACAGTGGAAGAGCAGCGACAGCAGGGGGTGCACGTCCGACTTCAGCTTCATGGTGAGTGGGGGGCGAGGATGAGCAGCAAGTCTCAGGCCTGTGATGATGTCTCTGCTGGGCGAACCCTCTGCACCAAAGTAACCAAAGTAAAACATGAGAGAGCCTCTGAACCTGTCAGCCAGCCATCACCTTAATGTACATTTTAGATCTTTAGAAGATACTGATGAAAGGGGAAGAAAATAATAAAAGAATAATCTCTTGTCCAGTAAGTGACCTACAGTCTATGCCGAAATGTTTGGGCTTGAGATACACCCTGAACTAACATTAAAAAAATGGAAAGATACTAAAATCAGATAAGGCTGTCACTTCTTAAAAAAAAACTCAACAATTACTTCCTTTTAATGATTTCATTTAAAAAAAAAAAAAGCATAAGTAAATCAAAACCGAGCAAATGTCACTAACCTTCCTGCAAGAATCAAAAACTCTAAGCCCTCAAATGCCAAGCAAAACAAGCTAAAAGAAACCCCTGTCACCCGAACTGAAAAAGGGACGTGTGAGATTATGGCCTTAACCCTTACCCAAAGCCGGGACCCAACACCAATGAGCCGCAGTAAGAGCCACTGGGCTCTCCCTTCCCAGCTAGAGAAGAAGCGAGTTATACCACGATTTTCATAGGAAACAAACTGGGAGCATTCATGTGGATTATCTCAGCAAGCCAAGTCCAAAGTAGGTAAAAGGTATCCCCAGTGGCAAAACAACCCACCTTAAGGTCCTGCGGGTGGAGGGGGGTCATAAATCTCAGCCAAAAATTGCATGAATCCCCAGATTAACACACAAATATGTACACCCTGTCAACATGACTGGACAGTTTCAAATCTAGCCACACAGAAATGTAAAACTACCCCAAACATGACCACAGGAGTTCTATACTCGGGTGAGTGGCCGATTTTATCAGTGCAGAGTCAGAGATGTCACAGTTGCAAAAGCACACACCAACAGGCCCCTCATTAATGTTGATGGCGATGCAGGCTGCGGTCACACACACAAACCCCTCCCCGACTGCTATTAACCTCCTCAGGCAGTACTTAAAGACGCCAGCAGCTCAGTGTAGAGATGCCGTCAAGCATTCACGTGTCACCCAGGATCAAGCAGGAAAGATCTATTAGCCTTGGACTGCAGGTATGACGATGTGTCACCGAGCGATGGCAGACAGCCATAGTAAGAAACGGCTATGCAAACCAGAGAACCTTTATTATTAAAACGAAAAAATGCGAAAGGTCACTCTAAATAACTGTCAAATTACGGCAAGGTGTCGAGTTTAGGCAATGACTCAGTCTGTCCTTAATTTCTCCACCCACTGCAGAATTAAAATAATTGTCCCAAACAGGAATTTCTTCCGACTATAGGTGAGGCTATGTTAAACGGCCGTGTAGGAAGCAAGGTAAACTTTCCACATCGAGTTTATAGATGTGGCTGGCAACACAGAGCTCCGGAAAGGAAACGGGATCTGTGGCTCTTGCCAGCCGTCGGAGTCGTGCAAACCGAGGATTGACGGGAATAGACTACCGTGGGCTCAACAAGATTGCAGACAGGTTGGGCAACAAATCTAATGTTGTGCAACAACTTTCCCATCATGAATCTTTTGCTTGCATTTATAAGGAAATGAAGGAAGAATGTCTGCTTCATTTCAGCTTCGTCTTTAATCGAAATCGGCATGATCTTTCTGGTTCAGCAGGGTCATCAGACTCGCTGTCACCCCAATTGCAAGGCACTCCTCCACAATAACATAGCATCGTTTGCTGAAGCGGATCCTGACATGCCCTGATAGTGGGTCCTACATAGCTGGTATTTGTCATATTGGCAAATTTAAAGTGCTAAAATGGCTGATTACATACCTGCCTATGTGAAGTTGATTGCTCCCTTGAAAAATAAATCAACTAAATGTAAAACTCGACAAATATCTCGGACATACCAGTCGTATAATCTGTCGGTTAAAAAAAAAACACCCTACCGTTAAAAGGTATTATTACGATGGCGCGATGAAGTGCACATTACGATGCTTTAAAGCATGCAGATATCCACTAACATGCCTCCTCCCTGCCTTTCCATAGGCCAGTTTTATTAAACGTTATCATATCTCATTTGCAATGCTGTACAACAAATGAGGATATAACAGCAAAACCCCGCTGGATTCTCAAGATCAGACAGCGACATTCAATGTGAAGACGAGATAAGTAAGCTGGTTAAACGGGCTGCGTACCGGCCATATCTGCAAATCCTATCCGCTGGATTTAAGGTTGTTAAAGCGATAGCAAATACCAAGACAATACACTCACCTTATTCTAGCTATGAGTATCCTCACAATAGCGGTCGCTTTTGTCTGGAAAAGTAAGCAATTACAAATATATAACAATCTGTAGAGAAAATAAGAAATATAGTAATGCACGACGCAAACAGAAAACCCGAAGCAAATTATTTCTTCCGATACCGGTCCTCGGAATTCTACGGGGTAATAGTAGGAAACGTCGTCAAGGCATAGGCCGATCCTGGCCCCTGATTGGATAATTCGGGGTGGCGCGTGCTGGAGTAACGTCTATGACGTCGCAAACGGGCCCGCGAGGCTACTCGCGGTCAGCGCGCGAGCCCCACTTATGCAGTCAAATTTATATCATCCATGTGGTATTTTCATTTCCTTGTCACTATCAGGTGACTCTGGGACGCATTTCATTCACACTGGAAGGAAGAATCAAATGCGTCTATAAGCACTCTTGTAGTCTTTGCGAAATTTGGGTGAATTTGCACACAGAACTCTTTTAATTATTGTCACAGATTCCGCATCACTTCCCCATTCTTTGTTTCTGTCCAAAACGGCGTGCCTCGTGGCTATCAAGTGTAGCCGTTTTTCAGTTTAAGCATTCATCTCTCATTCCTGCATGGCTATTTTGGCAACATGTATCGCTACTGATTAACCATTTTAAGTCTAAAGAGACATGGAGGGGAGGAAAATTAAGAAAATAAAGTTTCGAGGATGTGAGAGAAAGGGTGTAAGGAAGGAGAGGACTCAAGATGGAAGGGGAAGTGGCGCATGGAAACCAAATAAACGAGAATGAACGTTGAGCTCGTGGAGAAAGTCGCGATGAGTGGATTGTTTGAAAGTTTATGCATATATTTATATATCTAATCGTATATCACACACGACGGGCATTGAATCTAATATAGGTGCCACTTAATCTAAATGCATATATTTGGACTGTTGGAGGAAACCAGGGAACTCTTGACACAACCTAAAAATGTATGGAGAAAAAATGAACCCTAAACTGAAAAAATAAGGAGGAACTGCTGCAGAATAATTATCCTTATGGAGAGGCTCAGGACACTGACAGTCTGGTGCATCAAACGCCAAATGCTATATGACGCATAACTAGGTTATAAGGAGAGGTGAAGGTTATAGGTAACATAATACAGGTTATTTTAATTACGTTTCTCGGTAAAACTGTGACAACAAATACCGCGGCTTGACTTGACACATTAATTCATTACTTTCGGTAGCTATGTAAGAGATTATGGACGCTGCCTATGTTAATGCTGTTCCTTGTACAATAAAAATGGAATGCAGTGGGACCTGCATTTTATTAAGAATACACTATTTTAAGGCAATCTTTATGTGTCAGAGCCACCATATTGTGAAATGTATATTTGTAGCCATATTGTGTAGTTTATGCTCCCGAAGAAAACGACGTTTTTAATATGTTTAATACATTTTAATATTCTTTAGCTATTCTTGATCCAGTTTCACTTTTATGTGTAAGCGCCGCTGGTGTAGTGGTATCATGCAAGATTCCCATTCTTGCGACCCGGGTTCGATTCCCGGGCGGCGCACTAGCTTTTGCGTATGTTATATTATTGCGGGTTTTCGCTGCAACTAACTAATTAGATTACTAATTAAAGGACTGAGTGGCTGAAGAGTCCTTACACCTGGGTTTGAACAGCTGACCTAAAGGTTTTCCGGAAAACCTGCATACACACCGGCCCTTTCACAGGATTTCCAACCCCTGTACAAAATCATACAAAATGAATACGGCGACATCTAGTGAGTAGAACGTGTAAACATATTAGCAGCCATTTTATTATTAGGTGTCTTACACTGTGCCTATATGGAATAGTACAGTTGTCGATTAACAGAAGTGGTATATTTTTTGACTAATTGTGAGAATCTTACTTTAATAATTAAAAAATATATCATTTATAGTAGGGGTCTCCAACTCCGGTCCTGGAGAGCCGGTCCAGTCGGTTTGACCTGGCTTCTGAAGAGCCACACCCGTTCTCAGGTAAATATCAGGGCAAGGTGTGGCTCATCAGAAGCCAAGTACTGTAGGATAGAAAACCTACTGCATAGTAGCTCTCCAGGACTGAAGTTGGAGACCCCTGATTTATAGTATTGATTTTATACAGGCCCTATAGCAGTCTATTCCGGCCACATTTGGGTCCTTCGTAACAAGAACGCTGTCAGGTTGTGAACATGCCGACTGTAAGCGTTAAAAGGGATCTTCTTTTTCGAGCCCTGGACAAGGAATACAGTAAGATTGTTTTGTTTTCGAAAGATAATTTAGTGGTGTTCATATTTATTTGACATGGAGTTATTTGACAGATATTGTCTTATGAATGGAAGCGGCTGGAAGGTTGGGTAGATCTCAAATGACCGCGGTCAGTTTTCTTAAAGTAACATCAACATAGTTTTTCCAGATGACAGGTCGTAGACAAGGTAGCAATTGTATTTACACTGACTATAGAAACAAGGAGTATCTGTTTCGAATAGCCAATGTTAATATTTTTCACGGAAGATTTGTAAAAACATCATGACCACTAGGTGGAGTAACGATGTGGTCTTTGCAACACGATTGCATCATTTCATCATTTAAATGTGGTACCATCCAAGATTCCTCATTGTTGCTTTACCTGTTATGTACTGGGGGAAGTGTTACCTTTTTTGTAAGTGTTACATTGACGTGTTTTATTTATCTACGTCTGTCTGTTGACTTACTTGATGCCAGACATACCGATCTGCATTATGCTTTTGTCCTGTGATTTTTTAAATTTTTCTTTAATGGAAAATGTTTTATTCTGATGTTTGACATGTTCCTTAGGCTTATTATGTACTAGCCAAGTGATTTTTCTTAATTCCCCTACAGCTGATGAGGAGTTTGATGAGCTCTGCTTTGAGTTTGGCTTGGAGCTTGATGAGATCGTGAGTCATACATTCTGAGTCTGTCACTGAATTATTATTAGCACTGAAAATAACATATAACATACTTAACATATGAGGTAACCTAATAAATGTTACATTGATTTGAATGAGCAGAAATAGCATTGTGGTTGATGTAGAAACTGAGGTGTGTATGGCCTGTGTGCCTAGACGTCAGAGAAGGACATCATACTTCGAGAGCAGGGGGACGTGAAGGCAGAGGGGGCCTCTGATGTTGTCCTGTACAAGATCGATGTACCAGCCAACCGCTACGACTTGCTGTGCCTGGAGGGCCTGGTCAGGGGGCTGCAGGTCTTCAAGGAGAAGTAATGATCCCCTCCTCATGCTCTCTCCCACCTGCCTCTACACCATCACATTTGTTTAGCAGTAGGGAGAGCAGTCTGCCAGTCCCTGGAGCTGTATGGGGTAGTAGGCTCAAGGGTCCAATTATGAAATCACTCTGCTGACCACAGGATTCAAACCAGCAACATTCTGATGACAGACAGAGAATCTTAACTTGCAGAGCTACACACTGATCCACTACACATTTTGTGTGTCTGTGTGGCTTTTCACATACGCTTTGGCGTGTCTGCTTTGGCGTGTGCAGGATAGATGCCCCTCATTACAGGCGCGTGCCTGCATCCAGCGGGGAGCCACAGAGGCTGATCATCACCGAAGAGGTAGGTGACCTCCCAGGACATGCCTGACTCCATCTTAAGGGGCGTGGCGTCTGCCTGGGGCATGTGGATTCACAACCTGGACCCCCCCCCCCCCCCCCCACACAGACGGTGGCTGTGCGCCCCCACGCAGTGGCTGCTGTACTTCGCAACATCACCTTCACCCCAGAACGCTATGAAAGCTTCATTGAGCTGCAGGAGAAACTGCACCAGAACGTATGCAGGTCAGTGTCATACACTTTCAAGGCCAGATGTGTTTACTCTCCACTTGATAATACACTTCTACATTTCATTTACTTGGCATATCCAAAGCAACATATCAGTGATGATCCGACAGTAGAGTCAGTCAGTCCCTGGAACAATTGGGGTTAAAGGCCTTGCTTGAAGGTCAGATTTGGGAAATCACTCCAACTGCGGGATTTGAACCTGTGACCTGATCACAGGCATAGAGCCACACACCACCTGACATGATACGATGACTGTCCCCTCGTGGTGTCACTTGGTAGACCCCACGGATGGGTTCTCTGGGTGAGCCATTGTAACCCTGGGCTCTCTCTGCAGGAAAAGGACTCTTGTGGCGATTGGGACGCATGACCTGGACACCCTGGTGGGGCCCTTCACTTACACAGCCAAGCCCCCAGGGGACATCCTGTTCAGGCCCCTAAACCAGAGCAGGGAGTTCACTGCCACTGAGCTCATGAGCCTCTACAAGGTAAGCCCCTCTGTGTAACCTGAGCCACTGTACCTCCTCTACACCTCTGTAGATCTCTTCAGGATGGGTGTATGGGAAGGAAGGAAAGAATGAAAGAAGCTTTATTGGTCCCAAAGGGGATTACAGGCATTACAGCTGTGAATAAACATGACTGGACCATAAAACATGCAATATACGGCACAGTTTAACCAAAAAATGTAATGTGCAAAAACAGTACGTGCAGAACTGTAGTGACAGACAGACTGTGTTCTGGTAAGTTAGGTCAGGAGAGCCACTAACTGCAGAGTCTGATAGCAGCTAGAAACGTCTCTGCGGTACTATCAAATCCACACGGACAATAATGCGTTGAGGGAAAATACACCTGCATGGGAGGGGTTTTATTCTGAGAATAAGATCAGAGCTTCTGTCATTTGTGACTTGTTATATAAATGACCAGTGAAAACTTCTAATGGGAAAGAGGAGTGTGGAAGACTGCAGGACCGGGATCACATGATGTGAAGGTTTACGCATTTTCCTAATGTTCCAGACGGACAGCCACCTGCGCCACTACCTGCACATCATCGAGGACGAGCCGGTGTTCCCCGTCATCTATGACAGCAACGGTGTCGTCCTCTCCATGCCTCCCATCATCAATGGTGCACCATGGGCGGGGGGCATTTTATCCCTTCATTATCTCAGTTGGATTTATTTGCGGCGTAGAATCATTTTGCAATGCAGGATTTATTTGTGTGCTTCTGTGCTGATGATGATCTGTTGATGTTCTGCTCTCGTAGGGGACCACTCGAAGATCTCCCTGAACACAAAGAATGTGTTCATTGAGTGCACAGCAACTGACCTCACAAAGGTAAACGCGTCATAACAGACATACAATACGTCTCGTTGTTTATATGCAGTGCAAAAGTTTTGAGCAGTCAAAGAAAATGTTTAAAGCTATGTATCTGTGTTGTAAGTATATTTGCTTAGGAAAAAAAATAACATTAGAATATATGCAAATTAGCAGTAACAAGAAAAACTAGAGCTGTAACAACTATGCGAATAAGGCGATAATAATCAGTAATTAAAATAGTTGACAATGAATTTTATTTGCGATTTGCGATTTGGTGCATAAATTGCGTGTAATTACATCACCTAGCAATGTTAATCTTTCACATGCTTAAAATGATGCAGAACCATTGTTCAATCTATGTCACGCCACAACCCTAGAGAACAAGCAATATATGGTGGAGATATTCAGTGGTACCTCAGTACTCAAACTCATTAGAACTCGAAATTCTTAAAGGTCGAACCAACCAGTTTGGAAAAAAAATGACCTAGAACTCAATCTGAATCTCAGAAGTCGAACCGTGACAATGATATCTAATAAAGTCGATTGTTCTGCACAAAATTAAAACGCTATTTCACTGTAGCATTTTGATTTTGCTGACGGATTCAAATATCCGTCAGAATGACCAAATATAAGCATTGTATGCTACTGCCATGCTTTCATTAGTAGTTTTAGACTTGTTCTTGCATATAGCCTTCTATTAATTGATGTACTGAAAGTATTAATGATCCCCAGTGCCCTGGCCAGTGTAACTGGTTAGAGGATGGATGGATGGATGGATCAGGCTCAGATGGCCCTTCACAGGCTTATAATGAATATGGCAGGTTGAAAGCAGTGTGGGCTGGAATGAAAACATTCTGGCTGGGGGTTTATTCAGGAATAGGGTTGAGAACCACAGCCCTACACTACCTGGGATGTGCCCCAGGCCCCCACCCAGCTGAAAGATGGAAGGATTGAACAGTCCTCCTCTGTTTTCAGAATCTGTATTCCTGTTGCAAATTCTTGTGATGTTGTACTTAATCTAGATTTTTCTGTTCTGCATGCTTACTTAGGCTAAAATAGTTCTGGACATGGTGGTGACGATGTTCAGTGAGTACTGCGAAGAGCCATTCACGTAAGTCTAGACTCGGCACATTGCAAATGCATAACATTACACGGCATTTATTTGCCAGCTGCTTTGTCCAAAGTGATGTACAAGTGAGGATCAGAAAGCTGGGTTAGTCAGTGCTCCAGGTGCAGCTGAGCTTAAGCGCGCGATAAAATTCGAACCTACAACCTTCCAGACACACGCGCAGATCCCTATCTCACGTAGCATACATTAGAAATGTATGTGTATACCCAGAAGGTCATTGGTTTGAATCCTGTTTTGGAAAAGTAATTGTTGTGCCCTTGAGCGTGACCATTTAACCCCAACTGCTCCTGACGTGCTGGATGCAATCTGACCTCATGCTCTGATTTTGCTTACTTTGGGTGACACTTATAACCAAAGCATCTAATAAATCAATAAAGGTACAGGCATGCTTTAGTTATGTCTAAAACCCTTCTGCGTTCCTCCCACAGCATAGAGGAGACCGAGGTGGTGTATCCAGATGGAAGGACAATCCTGTACCCGGTATGTCCTCTTGCCCTTCACCCTGCCGTGACACTGCTTCACCAGTGTACATTTACCTCCATGTTTATTATAACATCCTTAGGAGCTGGAGTACAGGACGGAAATCCTGTCCGGAGATTTCATCAACACGCGGGTGGGCATTAGGTGAGTGCGGCTTGGCGTGACAGCAACGGGGAAGCGAACATGCTGAGCTCAGCGTGCTGGACTCGGGTTTTTACCGGGGACAGAGCTCATCTTGCAGCCGGCATGTCCTCCTGGTCGTCTGTATACATTTCCGGCGCTCGTCTTCCATCGAGTATCGAGTAACGTCGCTGTTGCTTGGTTACGCATGGGTGGTCAGGGTTGCATTCAGTCTGTGTGGATGTGTGTGTGTGAAAAGAGAGCTGCGTATGTGAATCGTGTTTACACTATGCTGCATGTGCTGTGAATGAGGCGAATATGATCAAAAATGCGTAAACATTCTGTATACAAGGGGTGGTTTGTGGTTGTGAGATCAATCTGTGCCTGTTAGTGGAATGCTTTGGGTTCAAATCTCACCACTAGAAAGAAATAACATCACTATTAGGTCCCTGAGCTATAGGCACTCAAAAACTACTCTAGGGAGGCCAGATAAATGGCTGACCCTGTGCTCTGACCCCAGACTTTGTTCTCACCTGTACATTGTGCCGTGGGAAAATACTCGCCTCTGTTTTTCTTAATCATAACATGTAATTATTTCTGATCTCCAATCACAATATAAAGGACAAGCTGAGTACACACAACATAGTTTTTAAGTGACCCTTTTATTTATTGAATAAAAAATTCACCAGCACCCATATCACCCATGTGACATAGTAAATGCCTGCTTAGTCACTCAATGAACCGATGAACTAAATCTAAATTATGGTGGGTTAAATTAGGCACACCCAAGCTTGATTGCTGCCAGCCCCGTTGAGTCTACTCATCACTTAATTAAATAGAATCATTCCAGCAATGTGGAGTGGGACACCCTGCCTCGATCAGAAGAACACTTCTAAAGTTAGTTATTAAAATATATTAGTTGAGAAAAGCCTTGGACTCCGTGAACCACTCTAAGAGCCATCATCTCCACATGGACACGATTTAGAACAGTGGCAGATCTGCCCAGTAGTGGCCGGCCTAGCCGAATTAGTTCAAGAAGGCATGGAGAACTCATCAGGAACGTCACAGCAGACCCCAGACAATCATCTAAGGAAGCACAGGCCTTTCACAGGACAGTTAATGTCTGCGTTCATGGCTCCACCATTAGAAAGAAACTGGGCAAAAACAGTGTCCAGGGGAGAGATGCACAGTGAAGCCCCTGTTTAACGAGAACAAGAACATGAAAGCACCTTGATTTACCCCCAACACTTTCGGGAGAATGTGCTGTGGACTGATGAGTCAAAAGTGGAACTTTTTGGAAGCCAAGGGTCCTGCTACATTTGGCATAGAGACGGTGGAGGTAGTGTGATGGTGAGGGATGCTTTGCTGCTTCAGGCCCTGGGCGACCTGCCATAACTGAGGGACACATGAATTCAGCCATCTACCAGAAAGTGCTGAAGGAGACTATCTGGTAATCAGTCTGTGATGTGAGGGTCAAGCACAACTGGGTCATGCAGCAGTACAACGATCCACAGCACAGGAGCAAGTCCACAAATCAAACTTAAGGTTTTGGAGTGGCCAAGTCAACATCCTGATTCGAACCCCGCTGAGATGTTGTGCAAGGATCTTAAATGAGCTGTTATAGTCGAAAACTCTCCAGTGTGGCTGAATTGAAACTATTCTGTGAAAAAGAGGGCAAAAATTCCCCCACAGCAATGCTGAAAGCATTGGAATTCAGTTGTTGCTGCTAATGGTGGAACAACCAAATATTAAGTTGAGGGGGTATTTACTTTGCCACATGGGTGATGGGGGGGGGGGGGTTGGTGAATTTTTCCTTCAGTAAATCAAGTGAAACATTTAAAAAACTGTTGTTTACTGAGGTCGTTTTTGGTATTATCTTAACTTTGGAGATCAGACACGATTAAGTGTTGGATAAGCAAAAATGGAGAGAATGAGGGTCGAGGGCTTTATCAAGAAACTGTATATGTTTCTCAAAGGATAGCAAGAAGAGAGATGCTTAGGCTAAAGACTGTATCTATACTCATCGTGCAAACGTAAAATATATTATTTCTAGTCCACCTGGTTGTGAATGCTTACCCATAAGTCCTCTGGCCCGTGGAGCTGTATTACTGCGTGATAGATGGATGGATGGATAGATGGACAGATCGATAGATGGATGCTTTGTCATTGTAAGTACAATGCGATTTAGTTTGGAACACGCCAGCAGATGCACAGTACATTTACAATTACATAGATTCTGAGGCATAAATAGAATGGGGGAGTATGTACAGTCACTATATATGTACAAGATTATATATATATATATATATATATATATATATATATATATATATATATATATATATATATATATATATAAAAAATACAATAAGGATGTCAGCTAGCGTGTCTAAGGCCACGCCCCATCTGTCTCCGCAGCGAGGATGCAGAGAGCATTGCCCGCTTGCTGACACGCATGTGCCTGCGCTCCGAGGTGCAAGGGGACCGCATTCACGTGGAGATCCCACCAACACGCTCCGACATCATTCACGCCTGCGACATTGTGGAGGACGCCGCCATCGCCTACGGCTTCAACAACATCGTCCGCACTACACCGCGCACCTATACCATCGGCAATCAGGTGCGGCTCACCTCAGAACCGGCCAACCTGGGTGAAGCTGCAGGACTGCTTGGGGACGAACCCCCGTGACAGAGCAGGAGGCCTGCATTCATCACATGTGCCATGTATTAGGGGCTAAATTAGTGCCAGATGTTAGGGAAGCCTGATAGAGTGAAAAGTCGACGCATCTTCATCCACCTTCCATGAAGTGCTTTAGTACAGGGTGACGGTGAACCTCTACCTTTCTGAGGCAGCTGAAGGTAGCAGGCAGAGCGATACCATGGATGGATGGTTTGTTGGGTCTGTCTGTCTGACTGACTCTGTCTGACTGACTCTGTCTGACTGACTCTGTCTGACTGACTGACCGCTTGATCGAGACATGAGGAAATCATGCAAACTCCCAACACACAGAGCCAGCGTGCTTCGACCTCCCCGCCTTGACGGTTTGAGGCTTACAGGAGTCCCTGCTGCACTTCCCTGTCGCTTGGTGTAACCCTCTCTGTCTCTGTCACAATCTGCTTCCCTGTTTCAGCTTCCCATGAACAAACTGACAGAACTTCTGAGGATGGACCTGGCTGCAGCTGGATTCACCGAGGCCCTGACTTTTGCCCTGGTAATCCACACCTGGCCAAACACAAAAGCACACCAAACACTACATGGGGACAAACACCGAAGCAGGTCCCTCTGGCCCTCGTCTGCCCGGCTGCCCCTATATGTGCCTGTTTTCAGTTTTAATTCCTCGGTGTCTTCCCGCAGTGCTCCCAGGAGGACATTGCTGATAAACTGGGCCACAACATCGCTGAAATGAAAGCAGTGCACATCGCCAACCCAAAAACGGCCGAGTTCCAGGTGGGCTGCCGTCCTTTCTCTCTGTCTGTCGGTCCTTGCACTGAATTTACCTGCTTTCCATTATGATTTTTTTTTTTTTTCCTCGTGATGACTCTGAAAATGTAGTATGTCCCAGAAAATACTGGGTGTCACCTGCCTTATGCCCAAGATAGAATTATTTATTTGTTTTCCCAAATGTACTATTGATTCTATGTAATGGTTGTTTTTTTTTTTTTCTCCTCCTGCTAGAGGGTAACAATCTTCTCCCAAACAGAAGTAACTGGGGAGCCTTTATTTTTATGAAGTGCAGTAACATGTGTTTTCCACTAGGTGGCACGGACCACACTTCTGCCTGGCTTGCTGAAGACTGTGGCGGCTAACAGGAAGATGCCATTACCTCTGAAGCTGTTTGAGATCTCTGACGTAGTGCTGAAGGATGAAACAAAAGGTGCGTGTGTCTGTGTGCGTATGTGTGTGTGTGCATGCATGCTTGCCTGTGCGTATATTTGCACACCCATCCATTTGCTTGAAGGCTTTTAGTGCAGTTTCATTAATATATTGATTTCGCCGAGATTCAGCTTGTACCTCTCTAGATGATACAGTCTTATAACAAGGAAATTTCCTGCTGAGTATGATGGGTAAACAAGTGTATTATCTCCCTTACCTTTCAGATGTGGGTGCCAGGAACAATCGTCGCCTGTGTGCTGTCTACTACAACAAAAGCCCAGGGTTCGAGGTCATTCACGGCCTTCTGGACAGAGTCATGCAGCTGCTGGATGTCAAACCCGGAAAGCGAGAGGGTTACCACATACAGGCAGCTGACGGTGAGGCGGAACAGTAGCCACCACTGCCAGACTGCAGAATTTCATTTTTTTTTAAACAGTCCAGTAGGCATTCATCTGTGTAAATACTTCTGAAAGATCAGTTTTTGTCAAGAGAAATGAATTATGCACACGCTATCGATTGCCTGTCATTATGGCGGGAGTTAAAAATAGATTCTGGAACGCTGACAGGACAGGAAGCTCCTTTTGTCCTTCAGAGTGCTGGCAAAAGATGGCCATCCCTCATTTATTTGTCTTAGGGAATTAGAATCAGGTAGGAATTTGTTTTTGTTTGTTTAGGACAGCCCCTTTGTTTAGCAGAGGGGCTTCATATGATTTTGCGGAGTATCTTGATTGGGTGACTGACAAGTTACCTCCAAAAAGAAAGAAAGAGAAACCTCGTTTGCCACATGCACTCGTACACGTGTATAGGAAGCCTTTGGATTTTGCTTTTCACGAGAGACACAGACGTATGTATAAACTGGTGAGAGCAAGGTTTTTTTGGTGCCAGAGTGTAGGGTCAGCCAGCATCCAATACCCCGAAAGCTGTGGGGATTAAGGGCCCAACAGTAGCCGCAGGATTCAAACTCAGACATGGCTTCCGGACATGGACCCAGAATCCTCACCCCCCCCGAACCACACGCTGCACCCTCACGAGCTCGGCTGGCTGAATGGTGAAACCACTCCGTTTTGGGTCCAGTGATGGTTTTGGTCGGCCCAAGTGATCTCACATGACGGCTGTGTACACGTTGTGGTGCTTCTGTGGGACAGAGGCTGCTGGCTTGTCCTGTTTCTTCACTCTGCATTTTTGGGATTTCGCTCCCTCACCACCCCTTCCTCTCCCCTTCAGATGCCACGTACTTCCCCGGCCGCTGTGCTGAAATCTTTGCCCATGGGATGAGCATTGGACACCTGGGGGTCCTTCATCCAGACATCATCAGCCGCTTTGAGCTCACCATGCCCTGCTCTGCCCTGGACGTCGATATTGAGCCCTTCCTGTGAGAGGGTTCCTTGTCCACCTAAGCAATTCTGGCTCCCCCACACCCCACCCCGGCCCCCTCTGCTGCTTATGGGTATAATGCAGCCCCCTCTCCATAATCCCAGCCAGTCATATTCAGTTTCCCAGCTGACCCCAGAGCTACTCCTCATCCTACGGTGCTCGGTGATGGCCCCAAGCAAAGCTACCCCCCACCCCCGAATATTTTTCTATCATCAACAAAATCAAAACCATTTCCTACTTAAATTGGTGCAAGTCATGCTAGGGAGGTTTGTCATCTGCACCTCCCCCCATCTTTCTCACTTCCACCACCCACACTTGTCTGTTGCAAGCTTGTTAATATCTCTTTGGTAACCAGAGCAGAGCTTGTAGGGGAGGGTCGTGTTGCCTGTTCCTGAATGTGCCATGTGCGCTCTGTCTCCCCCTAGTGGTCACCCAGGGCCTGTGTCACCTCCAGGCTTCTCTTTTAGCCACATGACCCTGATCAATGGCAAACCTCTTGTTGATTATTGTCCTTTGCTAACATGTAGGCCTCAGCTTCTGCAATTGGTTCTTTCGGGAGTGCATGCCGCTCAGCCCTGCACACCCCATTGTGTGACTCGCGTACCCTGTAATGGGATCCTAGTAGAATCACTTGGGCTGGCGGCAGCGCAGTACATATTTATAAACACCATGACATATCCTTTTACTGTCACTTTGTCTGCACCTTACATTAAATCAATAAGAGAAATAAAAGCCTTGAATAAATCCCTGTTGCGTTTGTTGTTCTCTGTCACCCTGGGTGTGTTTGGTGAGAGCTGAACACATCCGGATAACAGATCGTAGAAGAGACGTGTTGTACGTGAGCTGGACCCAGTGCAGGCTGCGGATAGCATACTGTTGGGGGGGCAGTCTGAGTCAGACAGTGTATTGTTGGATAGTGACCCCCCTGAAGCAAACTGGAATGCCATAGTACTGCCCCTGAGCAGGAAACCTCCCCAGCAAGTCATAAGCTAAACCAGATAAAAACTAGTCATTGGTCTGTCCTGCCCTGAACCATAGATGTCATGCCATGCTAGGGCACAGTGCCCCTTTTCAATATCTCTAGTGCATCAGTGAGGCTGGTCCACATCCAGAAAATGTAGAGAATTCAGGTTTAGAATGATGGATGCCCAGAGAATTGTGCAGGCTTAGTATAATAGTGTTTTTCTGTTCATGCCGTAGCTTCTAAACACTGATGTGACCAGGTAAACAAGTGCAGGTATAGCATTACTATGTAATTCAATACAAACAGGCAGTATGTCTGTGCAGGGAAATCTCAGCGGTGTTCAGGAGCCTTCATGCTGCTCTGCACTGCCTTCCTCTCCCTATTCCAGCTTGCGGGACTGGGAAGCATGGCCATCAGTCACTGGAATTAATGTCTTTCAGCAACAGATGGCAGATTCTAAATTTTACTTTTAAAATGACGTAATAATTTGATACCCCCCCCCCCACACACACACACACACACACACACACACACACACACACACACAGCTTTCCCTGGCAGCAGTTGGCAGTGCAGTGTGGAGCCATCTTAGTGCTATAGGGCTGTTTGTGTATTTATGAGTAAAGGCTCTTCGTAGAAATGTGTACACCAGCCCGAACTTAGTGACCGTCTGCCGTAACTCTCTTGTACGGATTGTAGCAGCAGAATCAGGAGGGTCTCTAATGCTGTCTGCTGAGGATGTCAGCTCTGGGTAGTTACAGCTTCTTACATCACCTGCTGGGGTCCATGCTGATCTGGCCCTCTCTCCACCTCACCTCTTGTCTGAGCTTCCTGGGTAGTCACGGCGACGGGGCCCCTATTTTAAGACCTGAGGTTATATTTAATTAATGCCTGCTGCAGAGAGATGCCATACTGAATTGCTCTCCCTTGGCATTAGTTTGAAGGGCACTCTTACCTCTGGGCGGAGTTAATGCCTTATCGACCTACCTGCGTGGCATTGGCTGTCTAGTCCTGAGTTGTGGGAGGAGATAAGCAGGGCCATTCATGCCCTGGGGGGTGCTGCTGGCATGCTACCAATGCTGTAACCCACAGATCCATGCTCGTTTATGTTAGTATGAAATGGCTTAGTCCCAACGCAGCAACTGAACAGATCTGTGCTTGGTTATAATAGTCTTCTACATCTTAATCCCAACATGGTAACTGAACTCATCTGTGCTCGCCTATGCTGGCCTGCTACAGCTTAATCCTAGTGCAGCAATCAATCAGATCTGTGCTTGATTTGCTAACCTGTTACATCTTAATCCCAATGCGGTAACTGAACAGATCTCTGCTCGGCTTGCTAACCTGTTACATCTTAATCCCTATGCGGTGACTGAACAGATCAGTGCTTGGTGATGCTAGCCTGCTACATCTTAATCCCAATGCAGCAGCCATTCAGGTCTGTGCTTGGCTTTCTAATCTGTTACATCTTAATCCCAATTTGGTAACTGAACAGATCCATGCTTGGCTATGATAGCCTGCTACAGTTTAATCCCAATGCAGCAACCAATCAGATCTGTGCTCGGCTATACTAGCCTGGTACAGCATTATCAAAATGTCGTAATTGAACAGATCCGTGCTCAACTAAGTTAGCCTGCTACAGCTTAATCCCAATTTGGTAACTGAACAGATCCATGCTTGGCTTTGCTAGCCTGCTACAGTTTTATCCTAATGCAGTAACCAAACAGATCTGTGCTCAGCTATGCTAGCCTGATACGTCTTAATCCTAATGCTGTAATTGAACAAACCTGTGCTAGGGTATGCATCTTAATACCATGCTGGCAGCAGCATTACCAGCTGGCTCTGGTTTTTTTTTTTTCTTTCAAATTTCCGTTGTTTCTCAGTCTACCACAATTTAAAGGGATAGACCAACATTTATGTTACCGTCTATTTTCTCAAAGCACTAAGCGTACAAACACTTAAAACCTGCTTATCTTTAGAGCTAAACCACTGTTGATGCTCTTGGCATTTGGGTCCAAATGTAGTTCATGCCATATTTCTTGTGGCTTGTTCCATCATCGTCTTTGTTTCTGACATCAATCTTGCTAGCTAGCTGTTTCCTTACATAGTAATGATAGACTGCGAGAACCAAAACATCCACAAGTACAATTTAGAGGGTTTTATCTACTGTCTGTTACATGGAACAAGGGCTGGAACACATTTTCTTTCTGTATGTCAGCACTGAGCTAGAGGGGAGGAGTCGACGTCTGGGAGTGAGGTTCGACCTGGACAACATATATATTGAAATATCGGAAAGAGGGTGAGACACGCAGCCGGATGCAGACTGCAAGTGTGCAGTTAGTGGTGATGTCTGCTGAATACTGTGGAGCCTGAAGCCCATGTACGAGCAGCCAGATGAAGATTCTTTTTAATTGGGGGGAAAAAACACAAAAGCTGCAGTGATGAAACAATCTTCTATATATCCTCATCAGTGATGAGCAACATGATCTCACCCTGGCAACTGACAAGAAGGCATCAGGTAAGCCGCTCGGATGTAAAAAGGAGAGAGTGTCACATCTGATCCCTTGGTATTATAGATGTTATACCAGAAAATACGTCATTTTCAGATTTTTTATACGTTATAATCTCTTCATAATACAACAGAAATTCCTGTTGAATATGAAAGTTATCACCATAAAAATTAAGTTGTTGTATTCAGTCTGAACTTGGTTTAAACATGTTGTAAATACGTCTGCTACTGGTAACCGTACTGCCTTTAAGACAGTAGGCACTTTGTCGGTCATGCTTGCACGTCTTGGATTTCAGCACCCCTGCGGTGGGACAGCGCCCTTCCGGGGTAGACAGGGTCGACGCAGCGCAGACGTGGGAGGCGAAACGATCCATCTGGATCACAGAGCTTGTCAAAATCCAGACTGCACCTTATTGATAGGGTGGCCCTATTAAAGTGGTAGCTATCAGAAAAATCACTATGGTTTCAAGACGATTTGATTTTCAAAAAAGCTTGAAATATTATATTTTACAGCATTAGATATATACTTTGTAGCTACAGTTGTTACAGGTTAATATCTCGCATGTATGCATAATGCTGTAAATACTACTATATAGTCTCTATGAACGTAGTTGTTTTTATGTTTTAACAGAAATAAAATCAAGAATCCCGACCAAATGGAGCACATGTAGCTTGGAAAAAGAAGCTGCTCGATAACCCATTAAATAAAGTACCGGTAGTGATGGGGATTTTTTTCTACATGAATGTCTAAGTACAACCCGCTTCTTCAGTTGATGAGTTCATACATCGATTAACGTAGCCTATTTAATTTGTTTCATTAGCATTTTATTTGCCGTATAATTAAAATAACACCTTATAAAAACGAAGTGTGAATTATAAGATCTTACTAGATTCGTCGTAAGACCCGACATATAAAATAAACAGCGCGGATAAAAGTCCCCATTAGGGTCAATAAACTTTTAATAACAAAGGTTAATATGTTAATATACAGATACGTTTTAGTATTAGTTGGTGAATTTTCAATGCATTTTAAGCTTATTGTGTTTTTGACCCTGGTTTCTTAATTTAGGTTATATGTATTCTCTTTACCCGTTATTAGTTTTTTTTTTCTTTCTTTTTTTTCTTTAGCTTCAGGTGAAGTTTGTGCGAAGCTAAAACAAGCTTTGATGAAGATATCGGACCGGACTAAAGCTGCCCGTCTCCTCCTTACTCATCCAACCGTAGGCGGATTAGGGAAGCGAGGAAAAAAAACGGCATTGAAATAACCCTCATTACATCACCAAGTTTCCATCCCAAAGGGGTGCAGTTTTAACATCCAGCACCAGATGACAAGCACCAAAGAAGGGGGGAAGAAACCGGGCGTTTTGGGGGCATATTAAACCGCGATCGGCGATGAACCGAAACAAGGAGTTTCTAAACGCAATCTTAGAGAAGTGTAATGTAAGACTGTACGTTTCGAAGGAGCGTGTGAGCGCCGGAAAATGAAATGGCAGGGGCGAGCGGGGCCGCTGGCGGACAAGAGCAGCGGGATGCAGCGGCTTCGCCTTATGAGGACTACGAGTGCAAGATCTGCTACAACTATTTCGACCTGGATCGCCGCAAGCCCAAGATCTTGGAGTGTTTGCACACGTTTTGCGAGGAGTGCTTGAACACGCTGCACCTCCGGGAGGACCGGCCATGGCGCATCGGATGCCCGCTGTGTCGCCACAGGACTCCCATCCCAGAATACCGTATACAGAACCTCCCCAACAACACAAAAGTGACAGAGGCTTTCCCCCTCTATATCGAGTCGGATCCCCTGCCCCAGGACAGCTTGCCCCCGCACCCACCGCCTCTTCATCCAGCTCTTGCAGCCCTGCGCGGCGAGGAACCCGCAGGAGCGGCTGCAGGAGCCCCTGACACCCAGGCTGGCGCATCTGCCACCGGCGTGTTACCCGATGTGACCGCGACATACGGATCCGGCCGCCACGATAGCTGCCAGAACTGCAAACGGGCGGCGCTGACCACTGGTTGCGTTTGCGCCATCTTCGCATTCCTCTCCATGCTTGTGCTCCTCTTCATGGGCCTGATATTTGTGCATAACTATAACAGCCCTCCCTCCCCGGCTGGGCCCATCTGTCTCTCGGTCGCCAGCATCTTGGCCATGTTTTCGGTCGTTGTCACATGGCTAATCTGTTGGTTAAAATACCGGCCTGAACCCGAGACATCGCGCACTTCTGCGCCTAACGCGAACCGGAGAAGTGCGTAAAAATGGTTTTGCGCAATTTCCATATTTCATAATTTTAGACCCGACCTAATTTCTATTCGCCATAAGGGTGGGCTATAAAAATAGCTATTAATTAACAAAAATACAATGTGTGCGCCCACCCCCATTTTTTAAAATTACAATTGTAATTCTTATAGTTTTACACGTTTTCCCGATAGGTTTTATGTTTTTGGTTTGTCGCTGCGTGTATTCAGTATAACCCTATTCTGTGGAGTTTAAACTACTGTGGGACGCGAGTTCGATAAAAATGGATTCATCGCTTCATGTAGTTATGGTTGTATGTTAAATGAACATATACATATTAAAGGAAACCATTTTCAGTGTTCATCATACAGAGATCCTGCTGAAAATATGACGTGTGAAAAAGGTGCTGCTGAAAACTACAGGTAGAGTGCTGTTTACATTGAGATGTGATTGAAAATTAAGCTACATTTATTTCAAAAAGCTTAAACTTGTGGACGTTTGTACGTGAAGGTGTTTCGGTTTCGTAGGTAGGCCTATATGTCGAGATTATGATACAGTAGGTTTAGTTTTTTGTTTTTGGGGATTGAGTGGGTGGGTGCCGGGTTTCATACGTGGGACCAAAGAGGATTCTCACAAAAAAATGACAAATGTCGTTGTTAAAGCTTTTAAAGCTCACATATGTCCAAGAAACAATACAGTGACGCACTTATTCAAATAAATTATGAATGTGAATTGTTTCTATGACAAATAAAAAGAAAACGCAATTTCCAGAGTCTTCAGTGTCGATAACTAACAGCAGTACTACTACTGCTAGGCCTATTATTATTATTATTATTATTATATAATTGTTATTATAACTTGTTGTTGCTGCCGCTGCTGTTGTTATAACGACTATACTTTAAGCAAATGCATCAGTTGAAATTCTGTCCCGTATTTCCAGAGGGTCCGTGGATTCCAACACCAGCATAAAAATGTACAAGTGAGTAGTCCTGTTTACATCAAACCCCGCTGCTCACAGCTTCACATTGCCTGGCGTCAGGGGCGGATTAACGCACAGGCTAGATATGGCTTAAGCCTAGGGGCCCCACGTGTGCCAGCCTGCAAGGGGGCCCCCATTGGCGCGGAGCGGGGCTGGGTTGGGGGGCCCACAGACTACTGTAGCCTAGGGGCCTCCGTGCACCTTAATCCGCCCCTGCCTGGCGTTTCTTTGTTATGCACTTCAGCCCTCTAAAGGCTACACATGGTATGAAATGTCCAAACCAAATGGTAGATAACGTCAAAACATTAGGTTTGTTTTCTTTATATAAATAAAACCTGGGGTGCCACTAAAGATTTTGGGCCCCATGAAAGCATATCATATTGGGCCCCCAGGCCAGACCAATCCAGTTATGTTCCAAATTTTTACGGCTTCTGTCACTCAGTGTTTCTTGCTAGAGATGAATCGAGTGCTATCCCACAGACCTAACCCGACTCCTTAGTTCGGGAGGTTGCTATGCAGTGTATGCTCTGTGCACATTCTGGTGCTGACGACTAACACATATATTGGTGATTTAATCAAAAAACATTAATAAATAAGTTCTGATTTTTATAGAATACATAGTGGGTCAGTTTGGTGCAATAGTCTGGAAATACCAAATATTTCCATAGTTTCTTTCCTTTTTCCATACATATCCAGACTTGGAAAATACCAAAGTCAAATTCTGTACTTTTCCACATGGCATATAATCCTGAGTATGGGATCATGGGGGACCTGGAGCTATAGTTTCTGGCAGCATATAGGCCACAAAGCTGGGGAACTGCCTGGGTGGGATGCCAGTTCATTGTAGGGCAGACACACTATAGGCAATTTACAACCACAAATTTACCTGCATGTTGAAATCAGTATCCAGAGGAAAATTTGACAACATACAAAGAACATACATGGGCATAGATATGAACTCCCTATAAACTCTATAGAGATCTGAGGTAGGAATGGGATCCACGGAACCAGCAGTCCACTACTTAAACGTATATGCAGTTATGTTAGGTTTGATACTGAAGTTAGGAAACTTAGAAAAAATGAACCACACTTCACAAATCACGGTTCCAAGCGCGGTTCGTTCTTGACATCAACACGTGATTAATGACGTCCGGAGCTACGTTCGGACCACAACCATGTGACTGCTTTGATTTCGGAGTCATAAGGAAGCATGAATTCCGGCCCGGCTGTTGTCGTATCGGTCGAGCGTCTGCTTTGCAAATCGATAATGAAAAGAAAGTAGTGATGGAATAAAACAGGGACGTCTCTAGGTACTGGAAAATTCAGGGGCTAAGTCAAGTTTACTTGGGGCTTGACTTTTAATTTTTTTAAGGAAGATTGACATCGCGGCCAAAACACTCGGGACTAATTATGGCTAATATCAACATTCACAATGTCCTTTATTCATAAGACAGCAAGTAATTTCACAAGACACAAGTCGATTGATACGATGACGTCAAATTCAGCGCCTGCCAAGTTAACAGTTGCTTCACTTTGACCACCAGATGACGCTATTGTGCACCATATAACCACGCTTCGAGTAATGATCCCTTTTCGGACACTGGTAAAGGAAGCTTCATTGCTTCAGTGATTGTGTCGACATCACTACCGTATAATATTATTTACAATAATAATTTCTCACTCATGGAGTAGCAATATCTTATTTTGCAGATCTTGGTTTCCTGAATCCAGAGCAGTTTTCTGGTTTTTCTTCAGTAGAATGTATTCCTTCCTTTGAGATAAGGTTAAGCTTAGTGTACACTAAAGAATCCTTCATGTAGTACTTCGAAAGTTAACCATTATAATTTATGAAGAAGGAGTGACATTGGTTAGCACTATTGCCGAACGTCTCTGGTACTGGGGTTCAAGTCTCTGCCATGGCCATGTGGGTGTGGGTTTGCATGTTCTCTCCATGTCATCTTGGGGTTTACTTAGGGTACTCTGGTTTCCCCCCCACATTCCAAAAACATGCTGCCTGGGAGAGGGGAATGTTAGCAATTTCTGTTCTGCAGGTTTCATCATGCTGTGGGCTTGTTCCACCTCTGTGTCTCCCTGCAGCTATGAATGGGGAAAGACTTCAACCTGTTTGGTAGAATTCCTGTCCTCTGGTCCTTTCTTCCACAGGTAGCTAAAGCAGTAATACAGGAAATTAAACCTCACTTTAAAACAAACCTGTAAAACAAAACTATTATGCCTGTGGGGAGGCCCTTTTCCAAAGTTTACTAAGTATGGTGCCTCACCTGTTTTTTTTTTTTATATATTAGAAAAATAGCTATGAAAAATACAAGACTTGAAACAAGTCTCTGTTCTGACAGACCCTAACCTAAACCTTTAACTAGGATGACCAGATAATCCATGTCAGGGAGGACCTTTTGAGCTACATAGGTCAGGATTTGTAAACTACCATTTCAATAAAAAGGACCTGGACCTGACTTAAGCACTGAGATCTTGCTGCCGGCAGGTTGGTCAGTCTCATGTAATCATGCATGTGCCACTAATGTTACTATGAAACAGCTGGATAAGTCTTTCAATCAAGGAAACAAACCAATCAAAGCACAAGAAGAACTGAACTATAGCCAAGCACAGGAGCCATTCAGTTTTAAAATAGTTTGTAAAACTTGAAGAAGTTCTAAGTGTCCTCCCTGACATGGATTATGTGGTCATCCTACCTAAACTAACCTTACAATTACATTTGGATTAAGTGAAAGGTTTTGTGGTATAATGCCATTATATTTACATGGTTTGGAAAAGAATGTTCTGAAATTGCTTAATTTTTCCTCCTGTTTTTCAATACTGACCACTATTTATTGAAACCAAGGTTAAGTCACTTCAAACCAAGGTCCAACCATGTTAGATAAATTCATGTGAAATAAACACATAGTTCGTAATGTTTTCCCAATCATGTGATGTAAATACACCATCTGATTGGTTCCTCCAGCAGAGCTGTGACTCATTGGATTCTGTTGAAGATGGGGACTCCAGTTTGCCGCTTGGATTGGAGTTGCACTTCAGTTGCACACACACTGACTTGAGACTCGTCCTCTAAAGACTTGAGACTTGACTTGGACTCAAGACATGGGACTCTTGAACAATACTGAGGAACTACATTACATGTAAGTAAACTGGAAGACATATTTTGCTTGGCAGCCTTTATGACACATCATGCAATATTATTATTTGTACATTATTTTGATTGGGAAATGATTTAAATGGATATTAAGTTTTTCTATTTTTATAATATTAACCATTTTCAAACATTTTGTTTTCCTTAAATATTTACTAAATTCTAGCATGCTGAATGTAAAAAGAACAGCTTCTTACTCCCTGGAGTAACAGTGCTTGAGGATAACCTGTTCAAAGTGATCATATACCAAGCAACTAATCAGTGCTGATACTGTATGCTAATAGACAAAGCAGTACATGCTTTGGATTGTTTAGACATAGCAATGCAGTGTTCTATGCAGACTGGATGTCATGCAGCAGGTGATGGAACGCTGAGTACATCCACGAGAGACTTGCACTTGTGACATTGGATCGTAGGGTGTTGAATCAAATCGTGTTGAATTGCACCACATCATAATAGGGGTGAACCAGCGCACAAGTATAAATGCTTGCAGCAGCGTTGGCCACTTGCATAGGTTATGGCGTAAGTTCTGCATAGGCTCAACACAGAAGTACAAATCAGTGTCAGCAGCATATTTTCATCAGTTTACTGTTTGCTGAGAGTTGACTGTGATGTTTCATTTAATTTCGTAATTTTATTATTTAATTATTTGTGTAAACTTTGATCATCGTTTGATCTTAGCATGCTATACATTTGGAAAGCTCCATGTCTAAGCTACAACACATGAACATTTCAGCTCTCTAGGTATGTTTTTTTCAGAGCCAAAAACAAAGTTGAAGCTAGTTTCATATAATAAAAGTTATATGTTATATAAATGTTATATAATATACTTTTTAGTGGTATATCAGTTCAGTGTTATCAAATAAAATTTTGGAGTTAAGGAATTAGCAGTTATTGAAGCTAACTTATCAGTTAGCTGTGCCTGACACTGCTTATAACCCTGAGACAAATTGTTCTGCATCAGACTGGTGCTGAGGTTTCTCCAGCTCTGAATGCAGTACTCTGCATCTTCAGCAGCAGACAGACATCTCCAGGCAGCCAGGGTTTCGTCTATGCTCTTGTGGTTATATACGTTAACAGCCTCTGTATACGCAGACGTCTCCAGGCAGCCAGGGTTTCGTCTATGCGTTTGTGGTTATATACATTAACAGCCTCTGTATGTTCTTGCAGGTCTGTGATATTGTCATATTTACTGCTTCTTTGAAAATGCCCCACTGCATGTTTCCAAAGCAGTCTCACTACACTGGGGTAGCCTCTTGTGGTCAAACTCTGACTTCCCTAAGGAAGGAAGTTATTTATGTTTGTGTAGGCTCAGTTAATGTGTTATTGTCCCTTGTTGCAAAATTCACATTCTGATAGAACTTCGGTGTTACAGACTTAAGACAAACCTAATTGAAATCTCCTGCAGCAATACAGGATGCATCAGGGTGTGCAGTTTGGTGCCTCCTTCACATTGACAACCAATAACAATCATCATCAGGTCCTTCGATAAATATGAGGGTCTGCATTTCATAGTAATGAACTCTACACATGGTTAACAGAGTTTCAAAACCACCTCAGGATCTTGGTGCCTTGGGATATATCGACGAAAACAGCCAGTCCGCCTCCCCAGAGCTACTCTG